GGTCCCTGTGCTTTGTTAAGCTTGTTCTAAGTAGGTGCTTTAGACCACTGAGCCATTTCACCAGCCCCTACATTCTCTTAATGAATAGAATGATTCTTGTACAGCAATTAACCAGTAGGAAGAATGTATGCAGTGTGTTAATTATTGAAACTGTCCCGATTTGATTTGCAACTGTCTCATTGCTATTTGTTTATCAATAAAATTATGGGAAAAAGTTTTCACGCACTGGAAAATAATACTTTTATGCATCCAAAAGCTACACTGAGAGTGGAAGGGAAGAATTCATAGAAATGGAGCCAATGTTGTATAATAAATTAAATCTCTATTTAATACAAAAAAACCCAAAAAACCTCCCACTTGATCCTCCTGCATCAGCCTCCTGAATGTTTGGATTTTTTTTTTTTTTTTTTTTTTTTGGCGGAATTGGGTTGAACTCAGACCCTTGCGTTTGCCAGGCAAATGCTTATTCTACTGAGCCATCTTCCTGGGATGTGTGCCACCTAGCCTGTATGTACCTGTAAAGATAGGTGTTCATCTTAGCAGACATATAAATTCTTAGTTCTAAGCATGGTCTTGGGGGGGGGGTTGTTTTTGTTTTTTGTATTTAGGGGTCTACAGGGTTTCACTACACAGTCCATCTCGTAGCGATCCTCCTGTATGCAGCCTCCCATACACTGGGATTACACACATGGACCACCACACCCAGTCTCAGTTGGCCTGGGGATGGGGCTGGCACAGCATGTGGTGCCAGGGGTGGAACCCCGGGCCCTGCACTTTGTTTAAGCAGGCGCTTTAGTCCACTGAGCTATCTGGCCTGACCTTGTGTTATTTTATGAAGTACTTTAATACAAAGTCTGGTCACATACACTAGCTTTATTAGGCATATGTTCCTGTCACCAAGCATGTTGGTGCATACCCCTAATCTTAGCACTTGGAGGCTGAGGCACAAGAATCACTAAAACTTTTGAGGCCAGCCTGGGCTAGATAGTTGAAAACCAACCTAAAATAGTAAGGCCCTATCCGAAAATCTAAACCAACAAATGAACAACAACAAAATACCCTGAGGT